GAAAAGCAAGCTATTATAAATAATAGCTTAATTATTGTTATTACAGATGATTATCATGGAGGTTAATAACAGCAATTAGACCTCAAAATGTGGGTTGACAAAGGAATTACTAGGGGGACTCTCAGTCTAAGAATATTTTAGAAAATAACTGCTATAAACTGTCCGAGGGTAGAGCCATAGGAACGGACCAGATGTTCGGCTGGCCAACACGCCAGATGTTTTGCTGCTACTTGATAAAATGAGTCATGAAGTGGAACCTATTGGCATAGTGGGGCCACTCAGCAGAAACTGCAAAAACATAGACAGAGAAAATAAACAGGTTTGTCGATTAGCCGAGGAGCTCAAGGGACTGTGGCAACTGAAGAACATCAAAGAGAAGTCAGCAACTGGGATAGTCATCTTAGGGAGCTGAGGCCCTTTCCTGGGTTGGTGGCAATTCCAGACACTTGCCATCTCTCCAAAAGTTGTCAGCAAATCAATTCGACACATACATCTTGGGCACCCATGACACATAAGGCCCCCAGGCTCTGGGCTGGGGGTACAAAGATGAAAAATGACCGACCCTGCTCTCTCAGACCAGATAGTCCCGAAAGAGGGAGGATACCACACAGGATCATTTTAGAGTTAAAAGGGACCTCAGAGACCATTTAGCACAAGCCTCTCTTTTTACAGAGGTGGAAACTGAGGCTCAGGGAGGTAAAGTCACACATAGGTCACAGCTGGAAGGAACCTCAGAGCCTCTCTAGTCCAATCCTTCTATTTTACAGATGAGGAAACTGAGGCCAAGAGGGGGTTAAGTCACACGAGTCACACATAAGATCATAGCTTTACAGTGGAAGGAACCTCAGAGGCTCTCTAGTCCAATCCTTCTATTTTACAGATGAGGAAACTGAGGCCAAGAGGGGGTTAAGTCATTTGCCCAAGGTGACACAGATCAGAAATGCTAAAAGTGGGATCTGACTCTAAAACCTGTTTCCCAAGTCCACGATTATTCCACTATATCACCCTGACACCTAGACAGATAAAAAACAAGCACAAGGTCAAGAGTGATGAGCAGAGGAGAGAGAGCCAAAGGGCTTTAAGCCTTCGAGAAGAAATCCGGGGGCGGAGGGGAAGAGGGAGGGGAACGGACTCTGGTCATTGTGGAGTGATAATAACCCTTGGAGAAATCTGGTATGCCTCCTATAGGAAGCCTCTCCTGGTCTCCCTAGTTCACAGGGCTCTCGCGCTCTCGCTCTCTCTCTCTCTCTTCCAAATATCCTGTACTTAATTGGATCTGAGCCCCTCCCCACAGCAAACAGTGTTTCTTCTTGTTGTTGTTGTTGTTATTGTTGTCGTAGTTGCTGTCCTCGTTGTTGGCGTCTCAGAAAACCCCGCGCCTATAGAAGGAGCCCGCACTTAAATGCTTGTTGAGAGGAAGGGAATTGGAGGCGGGAGCGATCACTTTCAGTTGGGGAGCAAGCAGAGAGCATCGGAGATGCCTTTGAGAGAGAGGTTCAACTCGAGCTGAGCTGGGAAGGAAGAGCAGCTTTCAACAGGCAGAGGTAAGAAGGCAAGCAGTTGAGGGTCGAGGGAGAGGGGTCGTGGTGGGGGGAGAGGGCAGGGGGAGGGGGTCAGGATGTGAATGCACCAGGGGGGAAATAGCTGGTATAGCCAATTTTGACTCAATGTACAGGGAGTGCAAGGAAGCGATGTGAAATAAGGTTGTCAAAGGAGAATTGGAAGAGATTTCACGTGCCATTCAGCTAAGGGCAGGCAAGCTCGGGCACCTGGCTTGCCCCAAAGCCTAAAAATTTTGGCCACAGCATCTCTCAAAGAGCAGCCTTTAAGTTAGAGGAACTGCAATCTGATTCTGCAGAGGCAGCACCTGCTGCGAGGGGCAGATAATATTGAGGTATTTGAGCTGTGTGGCCATGCATAAATCCCTTAACCTCTCTGAGCTTCCGATACCTACCTAAGACCATAAATTGTGGATGGCTTGTAATCAGCCTCAGTGGAGAGTTTCTACTCTGGTGAAATCCAAGTTCTTTAATGTATTGCTGTGTATTCATAGGAGCCTAGATCTAGAGCTAGAAGGAATCTAGTCCAGAGGGGGAAACTGAGGCCCAGGCAAGGGAAATGGCTTGCCCAAGATCCCATAGGTAGCAAGTGGTAGAGCTGAGGTTTGAATGGAGGTTTTCTGACTCCTAATTCAATGTTTGGTCGGTCGGTCGGTCATTCTTTCCTGTGTGTGTTCATTTGGTCGGTTGGTCATTCTTTCTTGTGTGTTCATTTGGTCAGTCGGTCGGATATTCTTTCCTGTGTGTTCATTTGGTCGGTCGGTCGGTCGGTCATTCTTTCCACTGCACTGCCTACCTGTCTCTTAAAAACCCCCTCCCAGGTTGGAGAGCAATCGAGCTCTGCTCTGCTAGAGAGGGTAGGTATATCGGAGAAGTTATGGATCCTTGAGAGATTATGGTATTGTTGATAAACAATATGTGTGAGACAGTCTATTATTTTTCTATTGTTTGTAATAGATAGATTGGAATCAATAAATATTAATAATCATCACTGGGCTATCATGGAAAGAAGGAGGTACAATAGAATGAGCCGTGGCTCTGGAGGCACAGGTCTAGGGTTCAAATCCTACTTCTGCCCCCTTATTACTTGTGTGACCTTGGATAAAACCCTTCACCTCTTTGGGCCTCAGTTTCCTTCCCTGTAAAGTGTGTGTGTGGGAGGGTTCAACTAGATGGTCTCTGAGGTCCCTTCCAGCTCTAAAGCTGGGAATCTCATGAACATAACACTTAAAGTCAGGAGAGATCCAAATTTAAATCCTGCCTCTGACCCTTATTTGCTGTGTGACCACAGGCAAAATTTACCCCTCTGAGCTGCAGCTTTCTTGTAGTATAAAACAGGGTTAATAATGCCTGCGGTACCTCCCTGGAAAGGCTATCGTGAGGCTCGAATGAGAAAATAATTGTAAGACACCCTGTAAACTGCTATACAAACATCGGCTAGCATTCTTTTCATCACAGGATTTCAGGCTGGAAGGGAGCTCAGGGACCCTCTAAGACAAGCCCCTTATCGGCTCATGCCTATGGCAGCTAAGACCCCCTGAGAGCCAGGAAGGAGAAGGGAGGCAGGGGACTGGCTTGGGGTCACCCAGGTAGGTGGTGACCATTGAGCTCTGGGAGGAGAAGTGATCAAAGTGACTTGCTGAGAATCACACAGGTAGTGGTGGGGTTTGGGGAGGGGGGGGTGATTTGCTCAAGGTCACTCAGGTAGTCAGTAGCAGAGGTAGTATTTTAAATGCAGGCAGAGATTTTAACTTGCAAGCCAGCTTACAGTGTCTATCAGAATTGGGCTCTCAGGGGGGAAAAAAGGCAGGAAAATATCCCTGAGCCTAGATTTTTAAAAGGACAAAATCTTTCCTTTACCTAAAACCAAATGAGACCCCCCCGCCCTTGCTCCCTCCTCCCCCTGCTCAGGACCCAAATCTTGGTAGGTCATTCCTCACACTGACATCATGGCTTTAACTGCCAAGACCCAAATGTTGTCATTGCCACAGTGGGGTAGAGCCGAGGCTACCTCTCAATGAAGCATCGGCTCCCGCAGAAATCAAGGGCAGCCACAAGAGCCGCATCTCCCAGAGCAAAGCTCCGTGATCAGTGAGCTGACAGCTGAGGCTACCTTCCCCACTTGGAAGGCAGCTGGCATTTGCTTAAAGAGCCGAGCGACGAACAGCACAGTGGCTGAGCCCAGAGCTGGCCAGACCCCTCAGCTCTCTCGGCTGCTAGACAGCTCTCTCTGTTAGCAAAGCAGATCCAGGCACTCGAAGGAAGCTGCTTGCTACCAAGAGAGGACATGACAGGATTTTATCTTTCAGCCTGAAGACTGACTGAAATTCTCTTGGGATAAGGACAGAAAAAGGAGGAAGGCGCCTTGGCCAGCATCTTTTCATCAGAGTGGAGGGAAGAGCGAAGCTGATCAAGCAGCAGGGCATCAACAGGTAATCCCATTTATATTAACTCACAAAGGGAAAGATTTTTTGTTGTTCTTTTTTGTGCATGATAAGGGAATGTGGATGCTGCTAGTATCAATTACATGTGAAACCCAAATTTCCATGGAGAGCTAGGGTTTGGACCATCCACGGTCTTCAAAAGGTTAATGTTAACTATTTGCCTCTTTTATTGTTAATTCTTTGCCTCTTCTATTATTTGCCTCTCTTATGAGCTGAAATTTAACTAGAGATTGTCTAGAAACTCTTATTCTACTCCATTATGTGACTGTTAACATTTTTCTTTGTACCTGATGGGGTTTTTTTTCCCTCTTTCTTCCACTTACCCTTTTTGGCCCCCCCTACAGGGTCCCGCCCGCCACACGGGACACGGCCAGGGTCCCCGTGTGGTGTACTCCCCCCCACGCCCACTAATTGCCCCACAGGGGAAGAACAGCTGTTCCGCAGCTGTCAGTGGCTACTTCTTCATTTTTACCAGTTTCCCCCCACATTTGGCAGCCTGTATCCTCCCCGCATTCTGCAGTTGGTGCTGTTATAATGAGAAACCAAGAAATCGATGTGAGCCAGTGTTACAGTTAGAGCTGGTCTCCATGGTAAACTGCAGTACTATACCAGAAGAGAAGAAGGCAAGTTAAAGCTGTTAAGAAAGGGGAGCATATGTGGGGTACTGCTTTTTTTCCTTAATAACTGATGTGGTGTGACCATAGTGTCAGTTGAATTCATCTCAGAGGCTTGTCTTGGGCCTAGGGGTTTTGCATCAGGAAAGGGCCCTCTCAGGAAAGGAGGCAATTAGAGGAGGTAAAGGCCATTTCTCATGGATGGGTAACTCTTCCCACACATTTGTTTAGGTCCATGGAATGAACATTAAACTCTCCTTCAGACCTTAGATGCAAACAGACATGGAAAAGGCATCCTCTGGCATCTGACCATCATTGGCATTACACATCGTTAGACAAAAACTCTGTGGAGTTACGTGACAGAAGGAAGGAGTTTGGGAACCATGGCTGTGTCCCAGGAACTCGGTAATTCCACTCATCTCTCGGGAGATCCGAGCAACAGCACTTACAACAGCAGTTGTGGCAGCGAAGGTAACAGCAGCATTAGCAGAGGCAGCAGCGGTGGCAACAGCAGTGGCAACAGCAGTGGCAGTGAGGGGCACTCGATGATCAGCCTTTTCCACTGCATAGTCCGCATCTCCCTCCTCTCCTCCTTCATCTGTGTCTCCTTTCTAGGGAATACCCTGCTGCTGCTGGTGTTCCATCGGAAGCCCCAGCTGTTGCAGGTTGCCAACCGCTTCATCCTCAACCTCCTCATTGCAGATCTGTTCCAGACAGCCATAGTGATACCCTGGGTGGTGGCAGGCTCCCTACCTTCCTTCTGGCCCCTCAGCCAAAACACATGCACGATCCTGGTTACCCTGATGCACCTTTTTGCCTACGCCTCTATCAACACTATCATTGTGGTGTCCATCGACCGGTACCTGTCCATTATCTACCCCCTGTCCTATCCCAACAAGATGACGACCACATGGGGAGCGATGTTCATCTTGGGCACTTGGATCTTCAGTCTGATTCAGAGTGGTCCACCTGCTATTGGTTGGGGGGAGATCGACTATGACATGGACAGCTCTCTGTGCGTCGTCATCTGGAGCTCAAGCCCCTCTTACACCGTCCTGAATATCATGCTGTCCTTCCTCTGTCCAGTGGCCATCCTGATGGGCTGCTATGGGATGGTGTTCCGAGCAGCCCGAAGGCAGAATGCCCTAGTGCATCCCGTGAGGCCCCGGAGCCTGCAGGAACCAGTGGAGGAGACTGTTGCTGGAGAAGAGGCTAGTGAAGGAGAGGAAGAGGATGGCGATGCCATCGTCTCAATCCCTTGCCCATTCCAGACCAGCCCCAAGAGGTGCCCTGTGAAGCCCAACCCTTACCACTGCAAGGCTGCCCGAGTGATCTTTGTCATCATTGCCTCCTTCATCCTGTGCATCGGACCTTACTGCCTGCTGGCTGCCGTCTCTACTGCGGTGGGAACAGCCCCGCCTTGGGTCAACTCCTTTATCTGCCTGCTCTTCTTCCTGCAGTGCTGCCTCCACCCCTACACCTATGGGTACATGCACAAGAGCATCAAGAAGGAGCTCACCTTGGCCTTGCTCGGGCTCTTCTGCAGAAGGCCACCCCGGGGCCAGGACTCCAGCACCGACAACAACTTTGCCATGACGATGACGATGACCGACAGCCGGGCTTTCTCTTCACACTTCTCTCTGACTTCAGCCTGGAAATCCTAGATTGCCAGCAACCGCAAGAACAGTTTCCTGGCCCATCTTGGCACAGGCAAAGACAATTACAAACACTTCTTTACCTCTGTAAAATAGATTAGTTGATTAAGAATGGAGGAGGCCGTGGGGGTGGGGGACTTAATGCTGTGAGCAAAAAGCTTTTGGACTCTAAGCAGGACTTTCTCCCCCCCCCAACCCCTCCAACCTTCATCCCCACCTCCAAGATATTTAAACACCAAATTATTAGAGATAGATCACCACAGACTGACTTGCCATCTCAGAACTGTGCTCAGTATTTTTGCCTACTCCTGGAGTTCCAGTGTGTCTGCCTAGGTTCCCTTAAAGGAACTTGGGAGAGACCACAAGGACTTTTGGTTGCCAGGACCACAGTGGGCATGTGACGTCTACCTGCCAGATGAATGATAGGTAAAATTACTCATCAGTCCAGGTGAACTTTTCTTTCCAGGGCTTTTGAAATCAGGCTAATGGGCCAACCATGGAAGAAGGCAACTGAGTCACGACCAAAGGCTCAGTGTGGGGACAGGATCCCATTATGAAGCTCTGGCAGCATCAGAAAGAGTGGACAAAGATCCCAGGACATACATAAATTGGGAAGCTTGTCCACTAAAAAGGGGGAGGGAGGGAAGCACGCCATCAGATCTCATTTACTGTTGTCTTGTTTTTGTGCAATGGGTAAGGCTTAAGGTCATGCCCTAAAAATGGGAAATTTGTAGACTTGCTCATAGGGCTTTATTTAAAAAAAAAAATCTCCTATTTCCTATTTGAATGAGGTCGGAAAGGGAAACACTCCATCTAGTGTTTCTCCTTTTCCACTTCATTAGTGGATTTACAGGCACGAAAACGGAATTTCCAAATAAGCCTGAGTTAAATCTTCTCTGCCGGTCCCTTCTGTTTCAGAAAACAGGCACCTCTGCTAACACAGTCCTTGATGTGAGCTGGACAGGGCAAAAAGCCCTGCACTGTTGGCACTGCCCACAAGAGTTGAGGAGACTCTCATTAGAAAACGTGATTTGGTGACTGTGCCATCACAAATATGATCTGAGAGAGGTAAAGTGGTGGGCAGGCCTGGGAAACAAACTCCAAGGGTACCAAATTGTCACCAAGGGGACGCCAAGGCCTCTTCCATGTATCCCCAGCTGTTTTCTTCCTCCCGCAGAGCTCCTAATAGCCTCCAAGCTCCCAGCAGGTAAGGGAGAGAGAGGAGGGAGTCTGAAATGACATCGGAGGGAAAAGTATGCCATTCCCTGGTGAGTAACCAATGTTATAGCACCACATAGATGGTATGCTTAGCAAATCTGCAGCTGGCACCAAACTCTGAGAACCAACGTGTTGTATAGCAAAGTCAGGCTATGAAAAAATCCTGACCGACAAAAAGATGGGTCTGAATACAATCTGGGGAACTGTATTATAGATTCATGGTAAATCTTAAAATCACCTACAAGTCCAAGAGGGGAGGGGAAGGGTGGCTAACTAACAGTTCTTCGGGAAAAAAAGATGTGGGGATTTTGTGGACTCAACATGAGTCAACAGTGGGATATGGCAATTAAAACTTCTAACCTTTCTGGGCAATGTTCAGGACTGGAGGAGTGATCCTGCTGTTGTCCTCTGCCCTGGTCAAACCACACTTGGAGCAGTTTGGAGGGGGCGGAAGGGAGACATTGATAAGCCAGAGGGTGGCCAGAGGAGGTGAATTGGCCTCAAGATGATATCATATCAAGACTGCTTGAAGGAACCAGAAATGTATTGGAAAGGCTGTCACCCAGCAGGGGGATTGTTAGCCTTGTTCTGCTCCTCGCCTGAGAGGCCAGAATGGGGAGCAAATATGTAGATGTTTCCTGCCCCATGATCTTCTGCTCCCAGTTCAATCTGGAATTCAAATCTTTCCAGTCAAATGTAGCCTGGACATTTCTGATGGAAAAGGAGAGGGCTACCTTTAGCTTCCCTTGGGCTAATATGGGGGAAGATTATCTTACACAGAGCAGAGGGAGAAACCTTTTGGCTAAGTCTGTGCCTCATTGTCTGTATTCTGATTACAGAGGCCAGATCTCCCTGAGATCAAGTGGCCCCGAAATGGTCACCCTGATCATCCGGGTCCCCAAACCAAATTGGGGGGGGTGAGGACAGAGACAAATCACAATAATTTGGCTAAAAGATTATGGGCGATTCAGTGGCCACAAAATAGACATGGCAATATTCCCAACCTTGAGCCCCATCCTTACAAGATTCCCATATCTCATTAGAACTCATGCTAGAATTATTGATGTTAGACATCCATAGCTCTGTATCTATTCCTCCTCACTGATTCTGACACAAGCTCCTCCAGGGAAAGAGGTAAACAGCTCTGTAGCTGGGCTGTGAACAGCTGGAGGCTCGCCTTGTCAGTGGTCAGCATCTGGAGGAAAACAATGCAATGGTATTTAGCTAGCTGGACCTGAGGATGTGGGATAGATCTGCCCAGGAAAGCTGGGCTAACTCGGGATCTGTGATCATGCAGACAGGGGCAGGGGGAAGACTGAAGTTTACTCTTGGATTTTTTAAGCTTAAAAAAAAAAAAGGAAGTGTTATGCCTGCTCCAGTTCCTAAATGTGTGGCCATCTTGGTCATTTATTTGCCTGTCCCCAAAAGGTACCTGAGGGAATAGATGGCCCCAATGACCCATCTTTTGATCAGAGGAGAAAGGGACTGGATTTGGGCTCAAATCTCAGCTTCTCCTCTTTGGAGCGGTGTGACCCTGGGCAAGTCACTCACGTTTTCTGAAGCCCCAGTTTCCTCATCTGTAAAATGGGGGGGGTTGGACTGGATAACCTGGGAGGTCCCATCCAACCCTAGATAGGGATTCTGTGATTCAAAGCTGTTTATTGGTAGTTGATGCTGTTCTAGATTGACTGAACTTTGGCTAGAGAATACCCAATTAGGTAGACTGTTTTTTAATCACATTCTTAAGGTATTTGTTGAAATTGAACCACTTGTTATTTTGAAAACTCAAACTGCCAAAAACCATTTCAGAAAAAATGCTTTGCCTGCCTCCCTTCTGGGCCCCCCCCTTCTCTCTCTCTCTCTCTCTCTTTGCCTCTCTGTCTCTGTCTCTCTCTGCCTCTCTGTCTCTGTCTCTCCCCTGCTTCTTTCTCTTCCCCTCTTCTTCCTCCCTTTCCCCCTCTTCTCGCTCTCCCTCCTCTCTCTTCCCCTGCCTTTCTCTCCCCCTTCTCTCCCTCTCCTGCTTCTTTCTCTCCTGTTTCTCTCTCTTCTTCTCTCTCCCCCTTCTCTCTCCCCTGCCTCTTTCTCTCTCCCCTTCGCTCTTTCTACCTTTTCTCTCTCCCCTGATTCTCTTTCCTCCTTCTCTCTCCCCTGCCTCTCTCCCCCTTCTCTCCCTCTCCTTCTTTCTCTCCCCCCTCTCTCCCCCTTCTCTCTCTCCCTGCTTTTTTCTCCCCCTTTTGTCTCTCTCCCCTTTCTCTGTCCTCTGCCTTTTTCTCTCTCCCCCTCCTCTCTCTCCCCTTTTTCTCTCTTACCCTTGTCTCTCTCTCTCCTGCTTCTTTCTCTCCCATCTCTCTCTCCTCTTCTCTCCCTTCTCTCTCTCCCCTTTTTCTTTTCCCCTGCCTCTTTTCTCTCTCCTTTCTCTCTCTTCCACTCCTCTTTCTCCTGCCTCTTCTTCCTCCACCCTGATTCTTTTTTTCCTCCTCTCTCTCCTGATTCTTTCTTCCTTCTGTCTCTAACTCTCTCCTCCTCTTTCTTCCTCTCTTCTCTCCCACCTCTCTTTTTCCATCCCCCTCCCCCATCATACAGCCAGTATATGTCAGAGGCACTTCCTGATTTCAAGGCTGACCCTCTCTAGCCATTAAGCCACACTGCCTGTCTTGCTTTTCCACATCACCTTCAATTCAAAACCGGATTCCCAACCCTTCCACCCTTTTGGGTCCATTTAACAATGCACCTGACATTCTCAGATGGTGTTGAAATCCAGTGATTTAATTTTAACATGCCTTTTTTCCCCATGGTCTTATTCAGTTTTCATTTTTTTCCTAAATAGAATTTTTAATTATGGGAAAGATGTACATCACAGATCTTTCGGTTGAAGCAAAGACCTTTTTCAAGTGAGAAGCTCAGAAAAAGGACCTTTGATCTGATAAGATTCAGCTTTGCTGCCATTTTTTTATTACAGAACAATTATGTGCTAGCTCCAATAAAATCAGTAACAACATTAGGAAGTTTTTCTGCACACAATATTCTGTCATTTGAAAATAGGTGAGCACAAAAAAAGTTATTTAGCCTCCCAGGCTTTCACCAGGCAGCTAGTACAGTGGAAGAGTACTGAATCTGGAGGTCTGGGGACCCAGATTGAAACGCAGGCTCTTCCAATTTACTAGCTGTGTGACCTTGGGCAAGTCACTATACCTCGGTGGGCCTCAGTTTCCTCATCTGTAAAATGAGGGGGTTGGACCAGATGGCCTCTAAAATCTCTTCCAACCCTCAATTCATGATGCTATGTGTCTTTTGATTTTTTTTGTCATCAGAGGATTGTTTGAAGGATGTTTACCTCGGAGTAGTTAAGATTTGGGTGAAGGGGGTGGTGCTCCCCACAAGATGGCTGTCATGTGAAGGAGGGATTAGACGCACTCTTCTACTTGGCCCCAGGGGAACGAGAAGCATTGGACGGTAACTGGAAAGAGGCAGATATTAGTTTGATGTAAGGAAGATTTTCTTGACAGAGTTCCCCCAAAGTAGAACGGGTTACCTCGGGAGGTAGTGAGCTCCCCTTTCTTGGAGGACTTCAAGTAAAGGATAGCCACTCCCTGATTGAGGGGATTCTTATGCTGGAATAAATGGGAATTGGTGGCCTCTGAGGCCCCTTCCAGCCTCAAGATTCTTTGAGGCTTTCTGATGGCTTTCTATTTTTTCAAGCTTTTGTGAGGCTACGTAATGACTTTCTTTTATTTTTTTAAAAGGCTTTTGTGAGTCTATCCAATGCCTTTCTTTTTTGTTTAAGGCTTTTG